TAAAACACCGGTTCCCGTATGATCACCGAAATTAAGCAACGTTGAGTATGGTCAGTATCTAGATGGGGGACCGCTTGGGAATACCAGATGCCGTTAGTTTTGATGTAAGGATGATGTAATGGACGATAGCGCGGAATTTCCTTTTTAAATTCGCTGGAAATAGTTTTGCTATTCTTCTCCTCTTTTATATTTTTCCTCCCCTTTTTAATATTAAATTGTATTTTAATCGCAGTTTCTCGTTTCTTCCCAGTTTGTCAACATGGAAAACAAAAGCACACAGTTACAATATATATATATATATATATATATATATATATATATAGATATATATATATGTGTGTGTGTGTGTGTGTGTGTCTGTGTCTGTGTCTGTGTGTGTGTGTGTGTGTGTGTGTGTGTGTGTGTGTATGAGATAACGATATATATTTTTTATATATCAAGAACAATATTGTGTAAAAATGTATGACAAGGTGGAAAAACATTTAAATTTTAAATTTCCCAGCATCCCTCGTTCGTGCGCATGTCTAGTCACACCAACATAACAAATTTATTCCGATGAAGTCCTAAATCAAGAAACGCGTCACAAGGAAACTTTCCACTTTGGCATACATTTTCCTCATATATATATACATATATATATATATATATATATAAGTTGATATTGAAGTCAACATCCAGAGGCGACAGTCTCATACCAAACGCAATCGTTAGGCCATGTGCGTTTATCATGAAATAGATTGTCGCCTCTGGTTGTTGACTTCAATGTCCACTTTTATATTTACATACGCTCTATCCCTGATATTGAACACTTTAACCCATAAATATAGCATAACTTAAAAACTATTTTATATATATATATATATATATATATATATATATATATATATATATATATATATATATATATATATATGTATGTGTGTGTGTGTGTGTGTGTATGTCTGTGTGTGTGTGTGTGTACAAGATAAAAGGTTTTTTCTTTTCTTTTATTTCTATCGTCCTTGGTAAATACATAATATACATGTAATCAAAACAATCATATGTGTAAAGACACTTTCCACATATGATTATATATATATATGTGTGTGTGTGTGTGTGTGTGTAGAAATAAACAACTGGAAAGAGAATGAAAGGTTATATAATCTGTTTCTTAAAATTATTTGTTCGGCAAACTGACAATGTATAAAAAATTAACATGTCGCAGTGTAGAAGACGTCAGATTAATTTTCTATTTTTGTGATAAAAAAAAGTTGTATTTTTAGCTATAACAACACTCAGTTTGTGAACAAGAAAGGGACTTGTTTGACAGCAGTTCATGAATCCAAATCAGACCTTGTTTCCTGCCAAGCCATAAAAATCACATCAAAATCGATTAGATATTGGCAAGGTAATCGTAGCGGAATTATTTCCAACTGTTTAGATGTATTTCAGGTTCAACCGATGACTACCAGCATCATTAATCGTAAATCGAGTGAGCTCTTCGTTGTGAATTTAAGCGCAGTACTAGATTAACAACAAGGTCTCATCAATTTATATTTGAATTGGCTAGATGTAAGCGTAAGTTCTATGCTAACAGTTACTTTTCTCGCATTTCTCGCTTGTGGAACTCTCTTCCAACTTCATGCTTTCCAGTCAACTTCCAAAAATTAAAATGCAATATCAATCGTTAACTACTATCTTTTTGGTTGCTCTTCTTTTATTCACGTTCCTCCATATTGTTTCTTGTGTCTTAGTGGTTTTGCTACCTTGCTTGGAGTGAATTTGATTTCCAAGTTAAAATACGTGTTCAAAATAGAATCAGATATTAAAGGATTAAACAGGGATTTAGAGTTGCACAGAGAATACGGTTTCCACAGAGAGCCTACTACAATCCCACCCTCCCTCAACCCTAACCGTGGCAAACTATTAGGCCAAAACTATCAAATGTCTTACAGTAATACAGCACTTGGAAAAAAAATTGTCCATAAGAGTGAGTCCGATTTTATAGTTTATTTCTTATTTCGTCGAAAAAGGACACAGGCGTGTCCGAAAATTCCAACTTTAAAATTTTTCTCTTCGTATTTCGGTTTAGTCAAAATGTCTACTAATAAATAATGAATATCACCCATCTTATTGTAATATTTTTTTATAATTTTGTTGTCTTTTATTCTTTGAATTTCATTTACCGGTCTATTAAATCCTCACATTATAAGAAACACACGTGGACCACGTTTCGTTATATATATATATATATATATATATATATATATTTGTTGGATTGATGTGAGTTTGTAAACTCACATTAATCCAACCAAACATGTTAGCTCTATCTCTGATATCAATATCTAGTCACACCAACATAACAAACTTTCTAATAAGTACCGCGCATATAATATATAAATAATTATATATATATAAATAATTATATATATATATATATATATATATATATATATATATTATAAATTAATTGACTTAAAATATGTTTTTTTCGCTACACAGTTCTAACCATGTTTCAAAAATGGAAGCTAAAAGCTCAATTTAATTTTGTAATTAAATTAAAGACATTAGTTCCATTTCATCCTCAAGCGAATTTTGGAATAACTTTTAAAATTACTGGGTTTTAAAGACACAGCTAAAATCATAATTCACGTTTCCAAGGTTACAGATGAATCCACTTCCACTTGACAAGGGGTGTCTGCGTGTTCATTATGTCTGTATTTTGATGTATCAGTTATTAGTTACGTTTTGGTAGGGGGTAGGGATGTATTTTTCAAATTCAGAGCTTTTAGCTTCCATTTTTGAAACATGGTTAGAACTGTGTAGCGAAAAAAAACATATTTTAAGTCAATTAATTTATAATATTAATGCTCTGTAAATTTACATTGAGCACTATTTTGTAAAAATAAAAATATCTATAAGAACACCGGATTATATATCTTACTGTTCTTTCTTTTTTTTATATATACATATATATATATATTTATATTTATATACACGCACTTTTCATATATATATATATATATATATATATATATATATATATATATAAGAGCCAACAAGAAAGACTTAAATCGGAGTTAAAACACATGTTCAAAATAGAATCAGATATTAAAGGATTAAACAGGGATTTAGAGTTGCACAGAGAATACGGATTCCACAAAGATCATTCTGCAAACACTCACAACCCTAACAGTAGCAAACTTCTTTCTTTTTATGAGCCTTGTCCGTTCAGGACGTGGCCGATCATGGGTCTCCACTTTCCCCTATCCCTTGTGGCTCTCAATATGTTTCGTCCTTCTGCCACCTCACCCAGACCACGTTCTGTCATCAACTTGCCAGGTCATGCGTTGCTTTCCCCTGTCTGTCTTTCCTTCTATTCGACCTGTGAGTATCATATTTTCCAGGTCCTCCTTTCACATTTCGTGCCACAGAAACTTCAGCTGCCTCTTCCTGATGTTAAGAATAAGACTCCTCTTTGTTTGCATCCTCTCCAAGGCCTCATCGTTGCTAACATGCTCGGTCCATGATATCCTAAGTATCCTTCTGTAGAAGCATATCTCCGTTGCCTCGAGTCTCTTTTTCATCTTTGAGGAGACTGTAAAGGAGGAGAATGTCACGTAACAACTCAATACTCTTTTCTTTGTTACCAAAGAAATCCTCCTGTCTTGCAATACTCTACCCAGCTTTTGGAATGCGTCCTTGGCCAATATGTCTACGGATCTCAGTGTTGCACTTACCGTCCTCTGTCAAAACACTTCCCAGATATTTAAACTGCCGCACCTGCTTGATTTTAATGTCCCCGCCCTGCAAATCGCATTTCGGGATCATCTTTTGCTTGATGGCAATGCATTCTGTCTTCTTGTAGCTTATGCTTAGTCCCTTCTTCTCGCTCTCCTTCACTACCTTCTGTAGGAGGTTTTGTAATTTTTCTTTCGTGTCTGCTATCAATACTATGTTATCTGTGTATCTTATGTTGTTAAGATTGTGTCCGCCAATACTGAATCCCGGTAGGATTTCCAATTCTCTCATAATTGCCTCGCTGCATAGGTTGAATAGGTCTGGTGAGAAGCAAACAACTAGGATAGAGCTATCAAATGTCTTACAGTAATACAACACACAAGAGAAAAAACAACAACAAAAATTCCCGAAAGTGTGACTCCCAATTCATTGTTTATTTCTCGTCTCGTTGATAAAGAGCACAGGCGTGTCCGAAAATTCCAACTTTAAAATCTTTTTCTTCGTGATTCGGTTTAGCTAAAAGGCTTACTAATATAAAATAAATGTCATCAGTCTTATTGACAATATTGTTATCATTTTGTTGTCTTTTTATTCTTCGGATCTACATATTATAAGAATTCATGAATTATTCATACAAAAAACAAATACAAAGGTTAATGATTTAATTGGCGAGAAATCCATCGTCGCGAACAATTCAAATAATATACAAAAACCCCGAACCTGTTTATGAATGAAAAGATCCTTGTTTCTATAAATTTCTGTTGCATGTTCTTATTATTTTTACAAGCTTTCGTCTGTTCCTACAGACATCCTCATGTATGGAATAGATTTTGTTCTTGTTTTTACTCTCAGTAATAAGAGGATAATGAAAATATATGTATTGTTGTAATTAACCTTTGTATTTGTTTTTTGTATGAATAATTCATGAATTTGTAAATTAATTGCACCTTTATTGAAATTAAAATAACTGATCCAAATGCAACTTTTGGATAATAAGTGCGACATTACTGTAATTATTGAACAATAAAGTTCATGCCACTTTGACAGAAAATTTACCAGTAAAAAGAATTCACTTATCACCATATTTGTATAAGAACGCACAATTGTAAAATTTAAATTCAAACTCGGCGTTGCGACTGCACGCTCCAAAAAACAATAACTCATTTCTAATAGCATTTTTCGGATTACAACAATACATATATTTTCGTTGTCCTCTTATTACTGAGAGTAAAAACAAGAACAAAATCTATTCCATACCTGAGGATGTCTGAAGGAACAGACGAAAGCTTGTAAAAATAATAAGAACATGCAACAGAAATTTATAGAAACAAGGATCTTTTCATTCATAAACAGGTTCGGGGTTTTTGTATATTAT